AAGGTATTGAAGAGAACGATGGAAATTCTATCGTATTGCCGTTTTACAGCCAGACCAATTGCTTTATAAGGCTTTCTATCTTATAACAGAATATGCGATTTGAGAAGGCAATCTCTATAAGATTTGTTGATAAAAGCGCTCATTTTCATCGTATAAAATCCCATCAATGTTTTGCGATCTTCCATTTGTGTAAAAGTTTGAACATTATTACGAAACGTGAAATAAACCCGAAAATGTTGATTTCCCCCAAAATAGTCGTTCGTATCGGCAATATTCTTGAGGATTCTTTCTTCAGTGTACTCAGGTCCAAACACATGTTGACATCGATCAATGAAGAAGCTGCAAATCATATCCGAATATTATGGCAAGTAATGGATCTCAGAATCATCAGAAATACAATACTACTGATACTACTTACAATGCGATACTACTAATATAACCAATAACATCAACAAAACTGCTACTAATAATAATGATAACAATGACGATTTCCATCAGTAAACTAGCAAAAATAATCACAACGATGATGGAAAGTTAAAGCCAGAACTCAAACTGAAGTGACTGAAACGAACCTCAACGGAACTGTATCACCAAAAAGACCATTCGGATCTTCACTTGTTGTGAAATGACCAAATTCGTTACAGTTTTGATACAGCCATGCTCGTGCTGTGCAAAAAAGTAGTTTTAAAAGTGTTTGATCAGCAGTGATTGATACGAGTTGAACGAATAAATTTGAAATACGAAAATTAGCAACGCAACGAATTTGTGTATATCGCAACTTTGTATATTTAGAATGAATTTAGCAATGTTTAAAAGTATGAAATGGTAAAGTTATTGTTGAAATCAATGATGTCGACTATAATGGTAACAACTACGTATGATAGCAATGTCAATAATAACGATGTGATAGCAATAAAATATGGAATGACAGTAATAGTAATGAGAAAATAACGATACTGAAACGATGAGTATTATAAGTAAGTAAAGAAATTAATAAATACGTTGTGAACTTGGCCTTCCGAAGCGTTCGTTCTTCATGAACTCGACAAAATTTCTGTAACTGATATCAATCGGCGTAAGAGGCGATTTGCCATGTGCTTTCATGACCATTGAAATTACATCTCGCAACTGTTTGATCGACGTTCCACCTCTCAGTTTGTCACACATTGAGTGAAGCGTTAGCAGATCACGATGAATGCGCTTAATTTTCATTACAAGTTAGATAATGTGTGCCATTTCACTATGAGTAATTTTAAATCCTATCAAGGAATTAATATGAATTGATCAAAGAATTGATCATTGATCAGTCATTCTCAAAGAATTGATCATTCATATGCATGAAATTGAAGTTTCATTATTTTGAAAATATGCTGGCTGGAACATCAGATCAGGATCTCAATTAGGATTACGAGTTTAAGCTCGTAGATTATTTGCTCGTGAGAAGTTTCATAAAATAGCATCAGTTATGGTTATCCTTATAATCACAATCCATCATGACATTTCTAAATCTACCATTAAATTTTCAAACATTTCTATCTCGCAATACTTTGTGAGATTCGAAGCGCTCTTTGAAATAATTCCCTTAGCTGCATACAATTTGCCATTTTCGGCAGTTATTGGATGAGAAAGTGAGTGAGTGCCATCTTACCGCGTTAACTGCACTGTGCATAATGATGAAATTGATGTAATTGCGCACCACAAAGAAAAAATTCTGAACGTCCTTTTCACTCATACCAGGCCGTAATAGAGAATCATCCAATCTGAAACTATGGCGAAAAATAAATTGAAAATGCCAATTCTCTCGCAAAACATCGCATATGATATCATCCAAAAAACATCTTTCAGTTGAACATTTACAAAGTATCAATTTCACAAATTTGGAAAACATCTTGATTCAGCAGTTTCTTATGTAAAATAGACTTTCCGAACATTTAGCAAAACCAATGCAATGCACCACCTACCTGAACACCCGTACAATTTCACGCCTTCCCTTCAGCGTTTTCATCTTCTCGACAAGCAATCGGAAAATACTTCTTATGTTTGACACACAGTCTGGATCAGACTTCGTCAGAATTGTTTCCACTTGTTTGTCGAACTCTGTAATATGTGACTGATTTGAAAATGACTCCTGAGACTCAGCATTTTTGTGAATTCTCAGATTCAAATTTTCAATTTTGCTCATACGAAACAGTTTACACAGTTCGATGCAATCTGAGGAAGTTCGATAACTTATAATTTTTATTATAAATTGGATAAAGTGTATGGTATCATTAGGAGTAATTTTAAATGCTATCGAAATCCCTCGAAGAATTGATCATTCATATGCATGAAGTTGAAGTTACATTATTTTGAAAATATATTAGCTGGAACATCATATCAGGATATCACTGCAACTACAATCTGGTCACGATAACAGATTTGAGCTACAACATCGCTATGGTGCACTGTGCTTGAGATTGCAATTCTTGACTCAGTTTGCGCTTATTTTTCCAACTAGTAACTTATTTCATTTCATTTGTAAGTTATTTCATTTAGACAGAACACCATTCGATGGCAAATTCTCTCTTGTTCCAATCTCCCCTACCATTAAAATCAACTTTCGCCAGCAATGGAGCCGAACTAGCCACTGCGGCTCGGATTCTCCTCGGCGATTTCTCGCGTGACCACGCGGCTAAACTTCCTGGAAATGATTTCAAGAGTATATATGGTCGCATGCCATTTCTTCTTCTTTTGATATGAATGTACCGTGAAAATTTTTTGCTTTCGGGATTTTTCAAATTAATATAGACAAAATTTCATAGTGATTATTGAGATTTTTCAATGTGGAATTTACACTGAATCATTTGCTGGAAAATAATTTGTTCATTGAGCTTTCAGAAGGAAGAAAACTTTGATTCACCAGAATAACTTCCACCAAGTGCAATCCATTTGGGTTCAGTCATTCGTTCACGTCTATTAATATGATCCACAAAATTTTCCACGTCTCGAATCGCTTGTCTTGCGTTCAGATACTTCAAATTTG